ATGCTCCTCTTGACAGCCCTTTTTGTCCTCTCCGATGGACCAGGACGACTCGGATGCTGCTCGGTTGTTTCCTTGCCATGTTTCTTGAACTGCACAATGATTCTGTTGACTGTCGAAAGCGGGATTCCCAAATTCTGCGAAATTTGCCGCTGACTTATTCCACCATCTGCTTGACCAACTATCCTTCCTCTAACAAAAGCTGACAATTCGAGAGAACCTTGAGTTTTAGGCATGTTGTAGCACCAGATAATTAGTGTGCGGACCATTTTCATTTATATAGTGCTCTGTGAACACAAATTAGTTAGTATAAATCAGTTAAATGACGGAAAAATTAGGTGTCTATTTACTTGTGACCACTCAGTGTATATATATATATATATAGCTTTCATCAAGCAAGCCATCTTGTTATTGTATACATATTTTTGGAGTGGAGTTATAAAGCTGTTCAAAATCTAATTTACATATTTGTTCAGCAAATATAGGTGTTCTTATAGATATAAATGTATGGACTGGAATTATATAACATGTTCTACAAATATAAGATGTTATTTTGCTATAAAAATTCCTGGAATGGGTTTGTCCAACGTGTTCTATAAATACAAGAGGTCCTTTTAATATACATATTTCTGGAATGGTGTTATCCAAATACTTGTTCTATAAATGTAAGTCGTCCTAGTAATAGTTATACGACTATTAAATAAAATGTAAGTTTTCCTGAACAAAGACGTTCTTTCACATAATAAAATTCCTTGTGTAGCAGTGGTTTAAGTATCAAACAAATCTCAGACTCAAGAAACGATTATTCAAATCATGCTTGATTGCAGATGTTTTCTTTATATATTTTCTTATTTAATTGACCTTTACAGGCTTCTAATAGCCTTTATGCAACACACAGCATTTAAAACCTATCCTTGATATGATCAGGCACAAATCTCTATTCAGGAGGGAATTTGTTCAACATCGCTGAGTACTCTTCGGATAGGCTAGATTTCAGATGTCAGAATTTATTTATTGTGTCGAATATTCGCGTAAAGCCTTCTCTAACTTAGAACTGATAGACTAAACATAAAACAACTAATGAACAGCACTAATTTTTTTGGATACTCTAATCGAATAGTGGGATTTGGCCTTCACTCTTATAACGCATCCATGATAAGATAAGAAGCGTGATTTATTTATTTCTTACCGTAACAGGACGTGAAAATTGGGCTCTAGAATTGATAGCTTGGTACGTTAACTACTAGGCCACTCCTGGCCCAACTGCTACAAACCAATACATAAGAGGCTTTTATTTCAAATATCAAAACTCGTGTTAGGCCTGAAATTTCTTAATGCTTTTCCAGTTTTCCTACACTATATATAACAAATTTTAAACGTTCTTCAACAGGATAAAACGTAGCGGAATTTCGGACACCAGGTTAGCCGAGCTGGAAACTCAAGTGTCTTTAAATAGACCGAGATCAGGATCTGTGGCTTATGGCATTTTTGACCCATCTAAAATGTAAGTTGTTGAAATTCTCCATTAAAATATATACTCTGCTAGGAGTACGTATCTTTCCAAGTAGAAACCATGTAAGGTATCTCAATTACACTAAATTTTCTTAGGGAAGGAAACATATTTGTAAGATAATTGAAGATTTCAACTAGTCACTTCGTAATTTATAAGAAAACAGTTTAAAACATTTGTTTTCCTCCTTTTACTAAGTAAGTTTATCCCTGAATTTGTTTTATGTTGAGCTCCATGCAGTACAACATATTGGATAATTATATATATATTCCTGTTACAACAACAAAAGAACAGGATGACACCACTCATTTTCTATGTAAAACACAGTGTGAACCCCAGCGGTAATTAGTGGAATAAGTATAATAACAGTCGTTTAGTTTTTTATGTGACTCATATGTTATAATGGAAAAATAACCAACAAATTCATGGACTCACAAAACATTTAATGCATACGTAGTTTAGAGAGACGTGTATTTCTTGTGTTAAAAACAATTCTAATAAGTATCTAGGCTTAGTATAATTAGTATCTAATAAATGCAATTCGACAATTTTGTCGAATGATTTTTCTATTTTATTTTTACATTTGAATAGCAAAATTTCATTAGTACTGTGTATAGTATAAATTTAAATTACAAAAATCACTTCGTTGTACGTTAAAGACAGCTTTATGACGACAGGTTGTGTTCAAGACACATGCGAAACTCGAACTTTAATTTAATTTGTGTGTGTGTGTGATCTGACTCAAACATGCCTCTGACTTTCACGTAAACTGAATGCAGTTTTTTATGGCCAAATATTTGAAATCAACCTTTATATGCCACAGTTTATAAAAGAAAGAAAGTTAGGTCCCTTGAATACATAAGGTCTAATTCGTGTATATGTAGGTAGCATTGTTTCTATTGTGAATATTTTGATTAAGTTATGAAGATTAATGGAAACAACTGCTTTTTATAAAATATTTTCAAGTTATTTCGTGTATAATTTACTGTATTATATGTATATATTACACAATATAAGTTCATCCAATCAACCTAGAAATTAAAATGTCAAATTTTCTGTTGTTTTCGTTAAATAAATAAATTGAAACGAAAGAGATAAAATGTTTCATTGTTACGCAACGTTGTCATATATTCATTGAGGTTACGATTCTTACAAAATTAGTAATCATAAGTGTTCTATACATTTCTTGTAACTAGTTATTTAAATGAGTTGTATCACCACATCATTGAGTGTCACGTCCCACAAAATATTTACTTGAAAACCAATAACCATATAAAATAGCCATTTGTTAAAGCCAGACATAAAAAATGCCATTAACGAGAATTTGCAAAGGATTACTGATAGTATTTAAGACAGGCATTTTAAATGAGAATTTTAAACATATCTTAAAATAAATCATTTTATTAGCATAGATTATGGGCAAATTATGTTATTATGCACTATTCAAAAGTGTATTTTTGAGAGTAAATTTTGTTTATTTTAGTGGAAAAAGAACCTTCCATCAATTTCGACAGTTCCCAGAACCAACAGACATAGTTTATGATGATCCTGATTATATCTGGAATACTCCGAAAGACAACTATCAACAAGAGGCGATTATATTCAAAAATCCTTTTTTGGCAGATGGCGCTGAATGGCTAAGTGAAATTCTGAGTTTAGCAAAAATCAAAACACGCCCTAATAGTAAAAAAGAGGATATTGCTTAAAGTAGGTATATTAATAAATGAAAGTTAGATCTACTAATAGAATTAGATTGGCCCGGCATGGCC